CCCCCCCCCCCCTCTTTCTCCAAACAAAATCCGAGTGGACCCCACCCGTCACACAAAAAGATAAGATTGTAGGTCCCGCATCCAACCCAATCCTTCTATTGTTGTGGTTTCCTCGTTTCGGGCTCAAAATTTCAATTTTTTGAGTTTTCTAAAAACATAAATCGAGGTATTCCGATTTAGTTTATGTCGAAACTCGTATAATAATACATATTAGTTGTCTTGAATGTGTTTCTATGTTGTTTTGTGTTTTGTTTGCGATTAAACTAGTATGTTATTTTTATCCGGATTAAGAAATTAGTGTTTTAAAAAAATTGTTAAAAGTTGAGAAATAACTTTTTTTATTAATAAAAATGTTCATAAATTTCTTTTACTGTTTTATATGTAATTTCGTGAATGTTATGTTATTAAAATATATTTGTTATTTTTATTTAGTTTAGATTATTTATTTGCTTAAAGACTAGTGCCCTTTTAGCGTAGTAAAATATAGAGCCTTTTAGCGTAGTAAAATATAGAGCCTTTTAGTATAGAATCTCTGTAGTTTAAGTATCTACTATATTGATAGATCAAACACAAACACTGTCCAATTACAATTTACAAAAATTAATTATTTAATTTATAAAACAAACACACAGAATTATGAAAAATATTAAAATTGACACACATAAGAATTCAGGATAGCTTGGTGCTACTGGGCCTCAAATATCGAGCCTGGAACCCATAGGTATATACTCTGTCCAATTAAATAATTAAATATTAATTATTTACAAAATAAAACAAACACACAAAATTCTAAAAATATTAAAATTGGCACACATAAGAATTCATGAAAGCTTGGTGGTACTGGGCCACAAATATCGAGTCTGGAACCCATAGATATATACGTTGTCCAATTAAAAATTAATTATTTAATTTATAAAACAAACACACAAAATTATGAAAAAAATTAAAATTGGCACTCATAAGAATTCAAGATAGCTTGGTGCTGTTGGGCCTCAAATATAGAACCTGGAACCCATAGATATATACGTTCCCCAATTAAAAATTGATTATTTAATTTTCAAAACAAACACACAACAATCTAAAAATATTGAAACTGACACACATAAGAATTCATGAAAGCTTGGTGGTACTGGGCCTCAAATATCGAGCCAGGAACCCATAGATATATACGCTGTCCAATTAAAAATTAATTATTTAATTTTCAAAACAAACACACAAAATCCTAAAAATATTAAAATTGACACACATAAGAATTCAGGAAAGCTTGGTGCTACTAGGCCTCAAATATCGAGCCTGGAACCCATAGATATATATATTCTGCCCAATTAAAAATTAATAATTTAATTTATAAAACAAACACACAAAATTATGAAAAAAAATTAAAATTGACACACATAAGAATTCAGGATAGCTTGGTGATACTGGGCCTCAAATATCGAGCCTGGAACCCATAGATATATACTCTGTCCAATTAAATATTAATTATTTACAAAACAAAAAAACAACTAATATTGTTTAATTTACAGTAGACGACATGGACGTGCCGCCTATGCATCCAGGACCTTTTTCCGATGAGCTATTAGTGTTACAAGGCGATCATAGGTCCGCCTACGTATGAGAGGGAGAGCTACTGGACCAGACTCTCCGCGCTAGGAGAGTGGACGACTTATGGGACGTTATGAGGGGCAGAGATTTCCATCCCCGCGTAGTCTAGCGCCCGAGGGATACCGGCTTCTATAGGATTTTTGAGATTGGGCGGCTGCAGCTTGACTGGTCTCTGATCACGGCCTTGATAGAGCGGTGGCGACCGGAAACGCACACTTGCCACCTGCCCATTGGCGAGGCCACCATCACACTGCAGGATGTTGAGGTTTTATATGGGCTGGCTGCTGATGGACTGCCCATTGCACTGCCTCAGTATATGAGATCTATGTCGCGTGCCCAGTATTTGGACTTGCTGCAGCAGTTCACTGGTTTCAGGCCACAGGATGAGACTGCAGTTTCAGGGGCCAGTCGCATGGCTTTGACAGCTATTAGACAGCATTTGGAGATATTGCACCCCGACATCACCGGCGAGACAGATGATCTACATATTCACCGGTACACGAGGTTGGTGTTGCTCCTTCTTTTTGGGGGTGTCTTGTTCCCGAACACTTCGGGAAATCTAGTGAGTTTACGATTTCTACATCATCTTCAGCAGCTAGATGATTTACCCCAGTACAGCTGCGGTGCTGCTGTTCTCGCTTACCTGTACAGGCATATGTGCCGGGCGAGCATGGGCACCCAGAGCGACGTTTCTGGTTTTCTGCTGCTTCTACAGGTGACAACATATTCGAATACTCTGTTCATTACTTCCAATTCTATCTAGTCAAAAAATTTCTTAAACTTTACGTCAACCTTGTATGTTAGGTTTGGGCCTAGGAGCGGTTCCTGCAGTTGCAGCCACCTCTACCACCATTACCTCCGGATGTAGAACCTCCGTTTCTCCCTCTAGCTACAAGGTGGGTTCTCCGGCGTGGAAATTACCGAGCCATTGATGCTCATCATAATCTCCCCCTTGTCAGGGATGTGTTGGATATGCTGGAGGGCGCATAGGTAAATGTGTACCTAAACTTACTTGTTATAAATTCACTTGTGTTGCGCATACTCACTTTTATGTTATTATTTGATAGTTCATCTAGACGTCGTACAGCGACGACTTGATAGATGGCCTGCCCGATTATTGCTCGGCAGGCCGACTAATTTGGAGCACTTCCGTCCCGCTGATGTGCCTCGATATTGTGGAGCATCATGCCACAGAGCAGGTACTTCGCCAGTTTGGCCGTCCGCAGACTATACAGAAGGGGCCTACATAAGAGGCTACACATTATCAGCGGGATGATTGTTCGAGGGCGGACGACGCATTTGTAGTATGGCTAGAGGCGTAGGTCCATACTTGGGAGCGGCGAGAGGACCTGATTCCGCCCCCACCTTCACAGATCCAGGCGGCGACTATTCAGATGTATACGTCCTGATACCGCCGCGTTACCCGACTTTTTATCGGGAACCCCATTCATCAAGCTGGCGGTCGGTACAGACCATACGCCGGGAGGCACGAGGCATTGGTATGTTATTTGGTATTCTTACTTATAACTATGATATAGCGTTCTGTAATTAATATTTTAAATATTGTGCAGGCTATTGGTCATCATTTATTCTACCAGTTGGGACTGCAGATGCAGCAGCATGCCGGCGATCCTGCGGTCGCTGAGTATGGCCGGCAGGTGACAGAGCTGGCTCTCCGGACACTGCAGCGAGCCAGACAGGGCGAGCGCTTAGATCACGACCCTGATTATGTGGCGCCAGAGCACCACCAGTGGGGTAGGCCTGTCGCACGCCCGAGGGGACGGGGACGAGGCAGGGCTGTCCACGAGGCAGGGGTGCCCCACGGGGTCGTGGGGGCCGGCGAGGAGGTGGTCCCCAGCAAGGGGGCATTAAGGCACCTGTTGAGGAACCTGATGAGGATCTTGGAGCTGATCAGCCGGGTTACATCCCTCAGCAAGACGAGCCTCCCAGCAGCATGCCGCCGTACAGCCTTCAGCTGGAGCTGCCAGCATCGCAGGTGACCCCGTTAGATCCATTGTTGATCACGAGCACGAGATTCACCGCAAATATAGAGCAGTTCTTTTCAGGCCCATCGACCGCAGCTGAGGATCGGCCGACCCGAGACGTGGATGGTGGGCGCAGGTTGAGTTTTGGCTCATCGTCATCGGGTGCGACGGATCTGTCTCAGGCGCAGGTATGTTTGTATTACTATTAAATTTTAATTTGTTTTTTTGCTCAATGATTTTCCATAAATTAAATTTTAATTTTCTTATTAAGGCTTCATCCCAGCCCGTCACGGGGGCCACTTTGTGCGATGCTGAGGACACCACGGATGCATATATTCAGGAGCCCAATGAGACCATGGTATGAAAATGTTTTTGACATAACACGTACATTACTAATATACATTTTCATATATTGAGCTTTCTTATTGTTTTGTAGGTTGTTGATGGACCGACGGCCCCTTCTACCGACCCTGCCAGCCCAACTGACGATCATGCTGCAGCGCATCCTCATATAAAGAGGCGACATGATGAGGATGATCCTGATAGTGTATCCGGGCGGGAGGGGATACGCATCAGGCCAGCGGCTGCATTGAAGCACAAAGGCTGTGGGACTCATTGATTTTTTTTTTGTATTTTATGTAAATAATAAATTATGTAAATAAGAACAACAATTTTTTATGCTTACATAATATGTGCATTATATTTTTATTACCCTATTTCTTCTTTATTTTAACAGTACAACACAAACACAAACATAGAAACTTAACATAACTTAAATTCAGTACAACTAATGAAAACACATGACACGGGAAACATAAAGATACACTACTACGCTCAAGACGTACATGTCATTGTTTAGTCACCACCGCCTAGTATTCTCTGCTCAAACCACTTAAATTTTTCTTCCAGCTTATTTTTTTCTTCTTCCACCTCTTTGAGTTTCTCCTTCAACTTCGCAACTTCTCGTTTGGATTATTGTTCTCTTTCCCACTGTTTCTGTCCCGACCCAGTTTTCCCTCCATTGGGCTTCGTGATGGCACCTAGTCTTAAGGACTAGGTAAGCCTAATAATTGCGGAATAAAAACAATAAATAATAACATCTAAAATTCTTCTGAAATAAATCCTTTATACAATGAACATCTTCCCAAAACCCGGTAGTACAAGTCATAAGCTCTACAGAGTTTCGCTACCATTTCTAAACACAATCGCATGGAAATAAGTACAGCAGTGTGAATATCAAATAGGAAGGTGACTCCGAAGCCTGCGAACGCAGCAGTAAGGCTACCTTGAGTCTCCTCGGCAAGAATCCGCACAGCTACTAGCGAACAATACCTGGATCTGCACAAAAAATGTGCAGAAGTCTAGTATGAGCACACCACAGCGGTGCCCAGTAAGTATCAAGACTAACCTCGGTGGAGTAGTGACGAGGAGCAGTCAAGACACCTACTGGTCTAATATACAGAACATGATATTTATATAGAGGCTACGCGATACGGCTAACAATACAGTAATTAAAAATAAGGAGAGAAAGCAACAAGTACTCAGGGGAACACCATAAGGAAAACACGGAAAGGTAAGCGAGAATACAACCCAAATCCGAAATCACAAATACAGTAAAGACAAGTCATAACTCAACAACTCCGATAGTTTTCACCTTAAGTCTTAGCCAGCAAGTGTCAATCAAATAGTCAAACCCTTTAAGTGATAAAAAAATATTTTGAAATAAACTTCATTCAAATAAATGCTCTTTTCAAAAAGAGTGCTTTCAAAATAAATGCTTTTTGAATATAATCTTTTCAAATAGATAACCTTCGCATATCAGTCACCCTGTGACACCTCATGTCACGACCCAGATTTTCCCGCCATCGGAGTCGTGATGGCGCCTACTCGTGGTAGCTAGGCAAGCCAACTTATTTACCTTCCCATCACTAAGCAATTATTTTTAACAGTTTATAGCATCAATGTAGAACATGAAATTTAATAATAATAATAATAGCGGAAGTCTAATTCATAAGTCTGAATCAAAACGCGAAATAGTCAACAATAGCCTCTACCCAAGATTTGGTGTCATATTACTCACGAACCACTAAGAATAAACTAAATACAAAGGTCTGAAAGAAATATAACAGCTGTCTGTCTCGAAAACAATGAGGCAACAGTCAAAAGGAAAATATAAAGAAGAGACGCCGGGCCTGCGGACGCCTGCAAGGCTACCTCAGTCTCGTGAATAGGAAAGTCTGCTCCCGAACTACTGCTGCTGCTGCTCCTCAAAACCTGGACCTGTGCAAAAATGCACAGAAGTGTAGCATCAGCACAACCGACCCCATGTGCTGGTAAGTGTCTAGCCTAACCCCGGCGAAGTAGTGACGAGGCTAGACTGGACATCACATAAACCTGTGCAGTTATAAATATACAGCGGGAATGAAATATCAAGTAATTAACAACAAGGGGAGGGAGACATGCTAAGGGGAGATACAATATTAACAGCAATCCAGAGTAACAACTAAAAAAGCTTAGGTTCACAATGAACAAAGAATCAATACTCAAATACAAACACATAGCCTCAATAACTGTTGCGGCGTGTAACCCGCTCCATAATTACTATTGTTGCGGCGTGCAACCCGCTCCACAAATACCACTGTTGTGGCGTGCAACCCGACCCATATCATTTATCATGTATCATTGTTACGGCGCGCAACCCGACCCTCACATATTATTGTTGCGGCGTGCAACCCGATCCTCAATATCATTGTTGCGGCGTGCAACCCGACCCTCACATATTATTGTTGCGGCGTGCAACCCGATCCTCAATATCATTGTTGCGGCGTGCAACCCGACCCTCAATATCATTTAACAGTCCGACTCCCCAAACAACAGTCACAATTAAGGGGCATAAAAATAAGTAAACATTTGACAAACATCCCGGCAAGGGAAAGAATCCAACAAGTTCAACCAGACGTCCCGGCAAGGGAATAATCAACAACGTTTTCTCTTTCTTACTTTTCTTATCTCACGATATCACTGGAGCCCAAGCTCCAAGAAATTTCTTATCTCATATTCCGTCACAAACAACAATATAACGACTTCCCAGTAAGGGAACAAAACATCATCTCAAATATTCTGGCAAGGGGATTACTATAACCACATTAGTTCCAACATCTAACCACCACATTAGTTCCAACATCTAACTACCACAGCTATAACCAACCTATTACCACACTTGACCACCTCAGCTATATCTAACCGACTACCACACCCAACCAACCCATCTATAACTATAGTCATCATATGACACAAGGAAACATTAACCTGAGAGACCCTAGTATCCGTTAAGAACACAATGCAGAGGAATCACAACCCAACAATAGCCCGCCAAGAGGGCAACATAATGATCTCTCCTCTTTCTCGCTTTTACTTCACAATTCTTTTTCACAACTCGAGCAGATGCTCCAGAGGTTCAATTATCACTTATACTTTCGCAATTCATTCTACAACTGGAGCCGACGCTCCTCAATGAATCAAGTCATTTCATATACTTTCAATATTCATATCACAGTTCGAGCCAATGCTCCTAGGAATCAAATTATCATATCACCATTCACATGTTATTCACAATATATGGAAATACTCCAATAAACATGAAATTCACAATAAGTTCATGATAATCACATTATAAGAACTCACGGTCATGCTAGACACCAATGTATAGATACTCGTCACCATGCCTATACATCGTACTCGATCACATAGCAGTTAGCAACAAGACTCAACTCCTATTCCCTCAAGCTAGGGTTAAACCAAACACTTACCTCAAAGCCTTGAAATCCACTTAATCCTCAACTATTGCTTTACCTCGCGGTTACACCTCCAATTCGCCCGAATCTAATCACAATTTACTCAATTACTTTAATAAACACTATATGAATCAATTTGAATGCATAAAAAAATGAGTTTCCCAAGTTTTTCCCAAAAATTCAAAAATCGCCCCCGGGCCCACGTGGTCAA